CTTCCTTCCTTCCTTCCTTCCTTCCTTCCTTCCTTCCTTCCTTCCTTTCTTCCTTCCTTCCTTCCTTTCCTTCTTTCCTTCTTTCCTGGCAATAGGGGCAAGTGACTTGTCCAGGGTCACACAGCTGGTAAGTGCTAAGTGTCTGAGTCCTTATTTGAACTCAAGTCTTCCTGAGTCCAGGGCCAGTGCTCTATCTACTGCATCACCTAGCTGCCCTGTGTCAGATCTATTTCCATCAGATTCTAAATAATGCTTTAAAGCTTTAAGTGATGCAAGGAACATCCCTTAAATTTACTTTGGGGCCTTCTTGGGATCAACACATCTCAAAGTTCCCATTCACATCTCAAGGTTTCCATTCTTACAGTTGCTGAGGCAGAGGTGGCAGCCCCTCCCTCTTAAGGATATAGGAGGAAGGGGTTTGAATTCCTGGTATACTTATTTCTGATAGCAACAATGTTATAATTAGTGTTTAGGTGTTTATAATACACTACTTCATTTACATCATGACTAGGTCTTTGTGGACTGTAATGAGAATGATGATTATACTATTCCTTTAGGAAAACGCATTACATATTCGATTTATATAACTTCCAAATAATCTCCCAAAACATAATTTTGTAAGTTGAGAAACAGCCCATGGTCTAAAAAAAAAAGTCAAGATCTTTCAGACACTTGGCTGTCTGGTACTTTAGCTAAATAATGTGGAATAACATTTATGGGACCTGTAAGCAACATACTTAATTGGTCTATCTTCTCATATTTTAGCAATAATAATTATTTTAACTGGCTATTATTTATTATTTCTAAAAAGATAAAACTGGAATATAAAAATATGACCATTAAAATAAAGTTTTATTATCTGTGAAGAAGAAAGTTTACATTTTTATTTAAAAAGTACATTTAAACCAGAGGTGGGGAACCTTTAGCCTATAGGAAAACTCAGCCTTTAGTCTTAACTTCATGTCGGCCCACAGGACAAGTAACAAGAGATAAAGAAATGACTATATTTATGTAACTTATGGTCAAAACCCAATGTGGATTTAAAAGTCTTTAGTATCAAAATCCTAAAAAGCAATAAGATCTCAATGCTACTCTTTGAAAGTTGATGTCTATTCCTCGTGAAATCATATTTAATCTTTCTAACCTTTAAGGGCAGAAATAATAAACAGACAATGTAGAATTTTTGGAAGTTTGCTCAATTATTTCTATATATTATCCCCCTGGGCCTCAAAACAACTATGTAAGCTATCATTCTCATTTTACTGATGAGAAAACTGAGGTTCAAAGACTCATATGTGGACTAATAAGTATCAGAATTAACTGAAACCAGGTCTTGTGAAGTATAAATTCATTAAGTCATCCCCTATGTCACAATGCCTCATGAGAATTTGCTTCCCTTGAAAATGGAGGGAATATTTCTAACATGTCTGAAAATATAAATTAGATAATATTTTTACAAAAAACATTGTTCCAATTTAGCTCTATAGATTTACCTAAAAAAGATTTCTATTAGTTAATAGGTAATAATTTTGTTTCTAAGGCTTTGATCAAGTTGTTTTCTGTTTCCTTTTTTTACCTATAATTTTAAAATTCTTAATACATCATGATTTAGGGTGATAAAGATGAATTGGCCCATTGGGCCATCTACAAAGCATGGCACAGAGTGGCTCTTCATAGTTCTGTCCAACAACACGGGACCACTGGGGCCTGCTTCAGGCCATGTGGTAACTCGGTAGATCATTTGAGTTCAGGAATTCAGAGCTACAGCAGGGCTATAACTAAATGACTATCAGCATTAAACCTATATGGAAAATCCCTGGGAGAAGAGCATCACCATGCTGCCTTTTCCACTTTGCACTTGTGATTGAACATCAGCCTCAAGGGGCATGTGTCTAGGCATGGAAGTGACTTTGAGTCATTTGGATTGCCTGGTTCTAACAACTGGAGCCAGCTGGCAGGAGGAGAAGATATTGCCTTTGAAGAGGAAATCCGCCATCAAGAGGATTGATCCAAGTGAAGTTGTTTTACCAGAAGACAGTTCTGGGGTAGTGAAGAGCCAAAGTAAAACATAATATAAAATGGCTAATTAGCAGTCTTGTTAACTGCTTTATGCTCTGATGAGATTTAAATTATCAATATTGCAGAATACTGTAACAGTAATTTTGTTACTCAATTGTCTTTATTCTCTTTTAAGGTTTTTTTTTGGAGGGGTGGGGGAGTCAAATTTGTATTAGTGACTCTTTAATGCTTAGCATTTATGTGTAGGAATAAATTAACTGATCCATACTGTACATTGAATATCTCTTATTCCCATTTTTTGGAGGGGAAGAAAAGAGGATACCTATATGCAAGCCATATTCAAAGGTGTAAGGAAAATTTAAAAATGTAAATTAAAAAATTGTAAGTAAAACTGCTGGACACTGGGCTGGGGATTTTACAAGTTAAAGGCGTGAGGACAGGGATCCTAGTCCTTTTCTCATTAGAAGAAAGATTTCCTAGACTGAAACTGGTCCAATCCTCATGCCTCGACGGACAACAGGGAGTGGGTATAGTACCCCAGCCATTTCTGTGGGCCCAGAAGTAATAGTTCCTCAACGTTAGAATAGAATTAGAGTGCATTTTCATTAACTATATTTGATGAACAGGTTTTATGATTACTTTTCTCATTATAAAAAGTGGGTGAGTTAAAGCACAGAAACAAAGAAATTCAGATTTGGAAGGACTCCTGGCAGTCATTTAGTCCAACCCATATCCGAAAAAGAATTTCCTCTACATCATGCTTGATGAGTTATCATTCAGCCTTTGCTTGAAGACCACTAATGAAGGGAAATCCAGTAACTAATGAACCAGTACATTCCACTTTAAATGAATTCTAATTGGTGGGAAAAATTTCCTTACATTGTGTCTAAATATGCCTCATTTTAAGGTCTTTCCCTTATTCCCAGATATCTTATCTGTGGCTAGACAGAACAAAATTTAATTTATCTTCCACACGACAGGCTTTCAAACATTTGAAGATAGCTTTCGTGTCCTTCCTGAGTCTTCTCCGCCCCAGACAAAACATTCCCTATTCCTTCAATTGACCTTTACACAACCTAAACTTGAAAGCCTTTCACCATTTCTGGTTGCTCTTATCTGGATACTCTCTGGATAATAATAATAATAACCACAACAACAATAATAATAGTAACTAGCACTTATATAGCACTTACTATGTGACTGATACTATGCTAAGCACTTTATAATTATTATGCCATTGGATCCTCATAACAACCCTAGGAATTAGTTTGCTATTATTATCCCCAGTTTATAGATGAGGAAACAGAGGCAAACAGAGGTGAAATGACTTCCCCAGCATCACACAGCTAGTAAGTGTCTGAGGCTGTACTTGAATTCAGATCTTCCTGACTCCAGGTCCAGTACTGTGTCCATTGGGATACCTTGCTGCCCCTAATAATCAATGTCCTTCTTGAAATGTAGTGCCCAGAGTGAAACAAAATGGCCAGTTGTAGTCTGATCATGGTAGAGTAGAGGAATTATCACCTCTTTATACCTGGAAGACATGCCTCTCTAAATGCAGCCCAAGATTGCATTAACTTCTGTGGATACTATGTGGTTTAGTGGGTAGAGTACTAGGCCTGGAATCGGGGAGACTCGTCTTTCTGAGTTCAAATGTGGCCTCAGATACTTATTAGCTATGTGACCCTGGGCAAGTCATTTAACCCTGTTTGCCTCAGTTTCCTCATTTGTAAAATGAGCTAGAGAAGGAAATGGCAAACCACTCCAGTTTCTTTGACAAGAAAACCCCAAATAAGGTCACAAAGAGTTGGAAATGATTAAAAAATTGACTGAACAACAAATAACAAATGTTTCATGTTTCATTTTCCTTATGTTACTCTCCTTCTCTCCACTCACCTACCACCCTAGTTCTGGCCTATTGTAATAACCTTCTCTTTGACCTTTGTGTCTCAAGGTTTTCCCTACTTAAATCCATCCTCCACAAAGCTGTCAATGTGATTTTCCTGAACTGTAGATCTGACCATGCCACCTCTCTTAAACTCTGGTGGCTCCCTATTGCCTCCATGATCAAATGGAGCCCTTTGGTTGGCATTTAAAACTCCTCACAACCTGACTCCTTCCTACCTTTCCAGTCTTAATACACTTTACCCTCTTCCACAAACCCTACAATCCATTCATACTGGCTTACTTGTTCCATTTCTGTGGCTTTGCCTCAGCTGTCTTCCTTCTGGAATGCTTTCCCTCTTCACCTCAGTCTCTTAGAAATCCTGGATTTAGTTAAAATTCAGTTCAAATGCCTTCAGGAGAAATGGCTTCAGAAGCCTTTGCCATTATTGCTAGTGCATTCCCCTTTAAGATAACTCTACTTCTATTCTGTACTTATCTATATAGACTTACATGTTTTCAACCCTTATTACGATGTAAGTTCTTTGAGGACAGAGGTTATTTTTCTTTTTGTCCTTTGTATGTCCAGTGGTTAACACAGTGCTTAGAACATCACAAGTGCTTAACCAATGCCTGCTGGTTAATTGAAAAACAAAAAAGCTCTATACCTATGTGGGCCTTGATTGATTCTCCCCTTCCTCTGTCTCCCAGGAACATTCCTCAATTCTGCTTTCAATTGTAAGGAAATGAGTATAGCCAGGGGAATATTCTTAAATTTAAAAAGTAATTCTCTGGCCCTAATATTCTTCCAATCTGCTCTCACTAGTCATAAACAGAAGCACAGAGAAGCACATTTTGAACTCAACTTTTTTTTTTAATACCACATAAATTATCCTGCTAAGTCATACGGTTCCCGATGAGTCTGAGCAATTGGATCCTGGGGCCAAACAGAGTGACAGCATGCATTTTCTTAAAGCCAAACAAATGGTCTTAAAAACAAATTTGGTTATTTGAGACAGTGCTACTTGCCTTTTGGTCGATGTATTTGTTGTCCTCGATTGCTGACCTTTTGGAATGATCACAGGATGAAGATGAAGCTGAAGGAAGTCTTCGTAAGAGGCAGCTTGTGTCTTGTTGTTGGCGGTCAATGAATTGTTTCATAAAGCTTTCCCTTTGCAAACAAACCAAAGAGATGTCAAAAACTTGATGAAAAGAAGGAATGAATGCCCATTTTCTGGAGTGGCATGCCTGTTAAAGACGTGTTCAGACAAAGTAGGGGAAGAGAAAAGGAGACCTACACAGACTGCAAAGAAACAAAAAGCTTAGATTCTGGAAAGGCTTACTCTTTGGCCAGTGTTCTCTCTGGTAACATCTCAGACATTCTTTTTTCATTTGCAGTAATACTCTGCAGTGGATAGCATTTCCAAAAATTCTGTTCTGGTAATAGTTACACATTCATAGAATCTGAGAGTTAGCAGAGATCTTGGGGTCATCTGTCAAGCTTCCCACTTGATACAGGGATTCCTTTTATAGATATTGCCTCATTAAAAGAATACAATGTTGCAGTCCCTGTGGAACACACCATGCTTGAAATTATAAGGGTAAATTAGTAACTAAGGAGGATTTTAATATATCTTCAAGACACTTTTGCTCAGAAACATGAAAAAAATTGCCAACTTCAGATCACAGAAAGTATAAGCAATGAGGACATGTAGTATGTGTATATATTATAGGTAAACAATATTTATGAAAAATAAAAATTCATCTTATTAATTCCCACTTAGAGAAGTATATATCAAACTTCATCTGTACAAATAGCCACTAAAGTATCTAATTTATTTCCATAGTAATGATATTATTCTTCACATTTTCTTTTGGGTAGCATGTTTATTACAAATATAAATAGGCTTTTATTTGAATTTTAAATATCATGGAATCAAAACTTGTCAAATATAGTGAGGAGTTAAAAATAAATCATCCCCCTCATCTTTTTTTAACTCAGAGGATAATAGAATGAGAGCTAGACGGAATCTAAGCAGTCATCTAATCCAATCTCATTATTTTGCAGGTAAGGAGAATAAGACCCAGCTCTATAAAACTTGCCGTGGTCACATAGGTGACTTGCCTTAGAGACAAGATATGAACCCAGATCCTCTGACTGGAAAGCCAATCTTCTTTCCACTGTACCATATCCAATGATTATATCTTGAGTCTCTTTCAAATACGTGATTTCCACTTTACAGTTGTCCCCCCCCCCCCCCCCCCGGCCATAGATGTTAGTAAGTCTTTGATCAGACAATGATTAAGAGTTGTAAATGGTTGTTACTAGTCTCATATACATTTTTCTGACACCAAAAGTAGTTTTCTACTTATTTGGTAGTCAAAAATCCAATGACTGTCTCAGGAGAAAAGCCAATTATTGCCTGGCCTGGAACAAGGAGCCCCCTCATCCAGGTCCAAGGAATAGAAATCCATCAGCTACTTTGTGTACCAATTTTGTTTATTGGTCTTTCTAGACCAATAGCAAATTGTCATTTCAAAAAATAAGTAACAATAGCTAATTCTTTGAATTGAACTTTATGGTTTACAAATTGGTTTACATATATTATCTCATTTAATCTTATTTTAAAGACGAGAAAAATGAGGCTGAGAGGTTAAGTGACTTAGGCTCACATAATTAGTAAGTCTTTAAGGTAGGATTTCAACTGTATTCTTCTTAACTTGATGCCAAGCACTATATATATTACTGAAGGCTATCTTTCTGAGAGGGAAAAAGCAATTTGAAAAAAAAACGCTTAATATGTTTCAAAAATGGTTTTTAAAAAATTTGAATAAATATGTAATTTTTCATATATACACATATCTACACATATTTTTCATGTATATTCAGGAATTCAAACATTCAGGAATATATTTATATATATATATATACAATTATGTACTAAAATACATTTTTATGCATATATAATTTTATACTATATCACATAGTATAGAATTATATATATATAATATATATATATATGTACAAATATATTCCTGAATTTGAGATAAAGTACTTAAAACCATATCTGAAATGAACTTTGGGCCTTGAATCTAAGAAATACAAGTAAAGAAAGTACCTGATTTTAGGAACTGTAAAATCTGAAGGAAGTTTTGAGATTTTCACCATTTGTGGTCGATTGGGAAATTTTTCAAAGATACGCAGGCGCAAAGGGAGCTTTTCCTTGGTGTCTGCATTTGCTTCACTTTGTTTCAACTGAAAAAGGAATGAAGAGAGCTATCAGTAACTGTAGGTTAGTGATTCATAATCAATGGAGCAATAAGAGTAATCACACAATGAAACATAAGATGGCAGCAAAGACCTACCAAGCACTGCCACACCGAGTGTCGTGTACACTGAGACACTGAAATTCTAAGTACAAAACTAGAAAAAATATGTAAAAATCTATAAAAAGAGAGAAATTGCTTGTATTTTTATTTTCAGATGTAAGCCTCTTAAGAGTACCATGTATACAATTATGGTTTACTTTTTTGTTTACTTAACAATATAAGGTGATGATATACATGTGTGTATATATACATACATATATTATATTACATATTATACATTATTATATATTATATTATATATGTATATATCCATACATACACACATACACATATTCCTCTCAAAGACACTCCTAAGTTGCAAAAAAGGTGTTCACTTGTATTGGTAGAGTTTTCTCATTCTAAAGTTACCTATATCAATGAAATTACAAATCCAGTCCTTAATCACGTCATGGGGTTTACTCAATCCATCTATATTATCACCATATACAATCAATAATATAATAGTAGACATTTATATAACTTTATGGTTTGCAAAGTGCTTTATACCAAAGGTGTCAAATATTCAGCCTGTAATATTCCTGAGTAGGGCCAGAAGTAGATTAAAATATAATTGGGAAGTATTTAAGAAAATAAATAAAAATACAATAGAACATAGATAATTGTAATGTGTGAATTCTTTAGTTGATATGAAGCTGGCAGGGATCCTTATGTATGGTTAAGTGGCCCCATTTCTATTTGAATTTGACACCACTACTTTACTCAATTATCTCATTTGATCTTTACAACACTTGAAGAAAATGTTACTGGTATTAGCAAATGGTGCAGGTATTATCATCCCTCTTTTACAGAGGAGGAAATGAGGCTGTGTGTGATCAAGTGATATGTTTATGGTCATTCAGCTATAGTGCCTATATAGGTGGGATGTGAGACCAGGTCTTTCTGTCTCTTTCCTTTTCTAAAGAGTTCAGCATGCAGTTCACAGTCTTCCTTCACTCTCCACCTCTCTCACATTTGAGAACTTTAATAGATGTTGACAGATGTTGATGGCCCCTCAAACTTCTCTTAAAATGATCACCAGGCTCCTCTTTTAATGTTTAGCTCTATCTTTCCCATACCAGAGTTCTATCCACAGAAAAATCTGAGAAGCCTGGTTTTGCTGAGGCAAAGAAAAATTCCCTCCAATAGGGGAGACAGAAGCATCTATAGAAAGATATTATTGGAAGTACTCTTCCCCAGCTTTGACTCTCTGGAAGTCTCCACTTGCTTCCTAGGGCAGAATGCAAGAGTGCTACCTAATTCCAATCTCTATGAGCCAGGCATGGGTGGCAGACCTAGCCTCCTGACAGCATCAGTAAAGAGAAGCCTCTCTACTTCCTCAAAAAAGTTAGTGTTCAGGACCTTGAAATGACTCTTTCTGCATTCTTTCCCCTCATCTCACCTCCACCACAAGTGACCCAATGATTCATACCTTGTTCTACTCCCTGGGAATATCTTCTTCCCAAACCTCACAAGAGAAGGAAAGGGTTAATGCAGTAGCATAAGAATGGGGGTGGCCTTTTCTCATGCTGATACCATTCCCTTGTCTTCTAAATCTCCAAGAAGGAGGATGGAGTGACTCGCTGCCCTCCATGTCAGTGCATAGGAATAAGCCCTGCCTGCTGGCCTATCCCACTCTAATTATTATTCTGAGTAGAAGAAAGAAAAGAGCCTTCTCCCCCTTTCTTATCCTCTTCTCTCCCCATTTTTGAGAATCCTATTATAAGTCTTCAATTAATTAAAGATAAGAGGGCATATCTGAAATTTTGCCTTGAGGAAGAAGGGAGGAGAAAGCAGAATTTAAATCATTTTTTCTAATTACAATAGATGAGAACTTTCCATGACTACTCCCATGTAAATATCATGACCACTCATATAACTCCCATAATTCACCACCCAGAAAATGAACTTAATTTTTGTTTTATCTGATGTAAATAACTTATATATGTATTTGTTCAATAGTTATGTTTATGTCTTTTATATACTATCTACAACAGTGTCTTTTGGGGTAAGGCTAGAGGACGTTTATATAATATCTTAACTACTACACAGTTCTTTTTCTATAAAAAACAAAACTGTGAGGTAGGCTGTACAAATATTTTACATTTTGTAGATGAAACTCAGGCTCAGAGAGTCTAAGTGATTTGTCTAAGGCCACCCAATTACTATGTGATAAAGCCAAAACTTGAATCCAGATCTTTCAACCTATTGTAACTCTTGGGCAAGAGGCATGTATGTTGACTTTATGCATAACATCAAAACTATTATCATATGAAGAAGGCTATTACTTACTAGTATTCTGAGAAGGAAAGTGATGACAGTGAACTGTTACTCCAAAAAACCACAAAATACAAAATTCTATCATACCATTTGATATCATTAAACTTAAAAAAAAAACCTGACAGTAGAGAGGCTAAGTAATAAAAAATATGAAAAACTAGACAATAAATAAAAAAAAGGCTTCTCCAAAACAAATATTAGAAAAAAACAGGAATGGTGAGAATATACAAATAGAAGTAAAAATAAAGAAAACAGAGGTAAATATATAAAGCCAGACTACAGAAGGAAGAAGACTATGAGAAGGTTAAGACAGAAATTTAGAGAAATAATAGAATTGAAGTGGAAGAGAAAAATGTATAGCAGAGAAATGAAAATGATGCCAACAGATAGTATGGAATTGAAATGGGCAACTAACTCTAAAGTGTGGGCATGGTAGAAGCATAGGAAGAAAAGATCAAAAATAAAAGAAAACATTGTTTGTACAAAAGATATTTATAGCAGACCTTTTTGTAGTAGCAAAGAACTGGAAAATAAGGAGGTACCCCTCAATTGGCGTATGGCTGAAAAATATGGCATGTAATGGGATAATATTGTGATGTCAGAAATGAAGAAAGAGACAGCTTCAGAGAGACCTGGGAAGAATTGTATGAATTGATGCAGAATGAAGTGAACATTACTAGGAGATCAACTTATACTAAAACATCAATATTGTTAAAACAAACAATTCTGATTGACTTAAGAATTCTGTTTGATGCAATGATCAACCCTGATTCTAGGAGACTGATTATGAAAAATGCTGCCCACCTCATGACTCAGTGATGGACTAAATATGCAGGATGAGACATACATTTTTGTGAGAATTTGTTTTCCTTGACTGTGCTTATATGCCCCAAGGGTTTTATATTTCTTTTTTTCCCCCCCTTATGTGGCGAGGCAGGAAAGAAAAAAAAATCCTTTACAACTGAAAAAAATTAAAGCTAAAAATGATACTACTTAAAAACATTTCAGAACTGTAAGACAGTAAAATTTTCTGCTAGTAAGCACACTTGAAGAATGGTATGATCTAGTTACTGAAATATACTAGTTAAGAGTTACAATATACACAGATTATTGATGTTTAAAGACTCAGGTTCAAGGAGAATACATTGAAATCTAAAACAACAGTGAGTATAATTGCTATCTGATGATTCAAAACATACTTTGGATGTGTTTAAGTGCTAGTTAAAACAAATTTCCAGTTCACAAAATATCAACTAAACAAGGTTTTACTGCTAAGGCATAAAATTATATCCATATTTCTACATGGACATATTTCTTCTTCATGATAATTCTCAAAAGGAAATCCTTTTGACCTTAAATGACTAGAGATATATCCCAGGTGTATAATAGGATTTTTCTGTAGGTGGTTGATTTATTAGAAAAGAATGCAGAATCAGAGACTAGAAGAGACTTGGAACTGCACTAATCAAGAAAATAAATTTCTTTGACTGAGATACAGTTTTCCTCAGGTGAAAAAAAAATCAGCATTTCAGTTATCTTCAGGTTTGCCCTGGCCTGATGCAGGATTCAATTCAATTAGGGCTTACTCTGTGCTAGAAACTAAGCTATATATTGGACATACAAAGACACAATGATAAATGGTTATATTAGATAAATATTAATAATAAAAATGGCAGAAATGAGTGGGCCAGACTTGCTGTGGTACAGGTAATACAATTCAAATCAACAAACATTCATTAAACATGAATTAAGAGTTTGGGGAGTAGTGTATAGCTCAATTTGGGCTGAAACATAGGAGGCATGAAAGGGATATATGTGAAATAAAAGAAGAAATGGTAAATTGGAGCCAGATTATGGAGAGCCTGAAATTCCAGATTCAAGAAGGTGCACTTAGTTTGGGAGACAACAGATATATTTAAGGTTAGAGCAGTATTTAAAGAAAATTAATCTGGCAGAAGTGTGTAGGGATAGATTGAAGCGAAGACAGAAGGTGAAGGATTAATTAGGATGGTATTGCAATAGTCTGTGTGAAAGGTAATTTGGAAAGTGGCAATGGGAATGAAAATGAAGGGATGATAAGTGAAAACAGAATTGAAAAGCCTAGGTGACTATTTAGGTGTAGGGAGTGAGGGTAGAGAGTCAAAGATGTCAGAGGTTTGTAGTTTGTGTGACAAACGCTGTCATTAATAGAATATTAAAAGAAGGGCACTTTTGAGAGACATATTAATTTTAATTTGAACATGTAGATTTGAATTATTGGTGGAATATGCAGGTGGAGATCTCCATAAGATGTTTGGAGCTTTGGAAAGGATAAGTCTGGATATAACAGACTTGCAGACACAATATTAGAAATTATTCAATTCAATAGAACATACATTAAGTTTATTTTTTATAGAAGGCACTATCCTAACTGATTAGATGGAAATGACACAATGCTTTCAGCACCCTATGGTTCACAATCTAGTAGGGATAGGAGACAGATAAATGAATAATTATGAAGTTTGAATGAGATAAGTATGTAGGAAGTGTCAGAGAGGTATCAGAGATTTCAAGAGGGGGAGATCACCTCTATCTGAAGGTAATAATTCAAGGAAATACTCATAGAGAAGT